CCACAAAATCAATATTGAAAATCCCATGTCATACACATGAGCAAATAAGATGCATTATCTTGACCTGCTGATATGTCCCAATTTTATAGGTCATAACCGAAAAAGAGCTCAATCTTGCAAACATGTACGTAATGAACGCATTCTCATTAAATTCCTCTCAATTTACAGAGCCTTTCGTACATGTATACAGAATCCTACCTGAAGCGAGCAAATCAGCAGAGTAGGCCAAGTTCTCCATGAATTTGCGGTCAAAGGTGACTTGTACTATTCACCTGCTAATTCCCCTACTGCTGCTTGGAATTTCTTCGCTGGGGATGGATTGTGTTGTCTGTTCTTCATATCTGTAAAAAGTGAAGAAACGAAAGTCATTCACAAAGTAAAAAACATTCAGATTTTAAATCACCAAAAGAAATTATTTTGAAGATGGCATTCTCTAATAATTATCACAGCTAGCCAGATTTGGAATTTGCATGACTAATAACTGATGCATTGGTTCTCTGTCATGTATGTGAAGTTGAGACACTCTTTGGTAGAGATAAATATAGATGAGACAGTCACATCTCAAGCAAGCTATAGTATAACCTTGTCGACTTTTAAAAAGAGCAGGATGTTTACCCGGTTGACTAGCCCTGCACGTCATCATTACAAAGAAAACTGCAGTTGTAACGAGGGACATTAAAGGTAGGGTCTATTACAAAGTTTTGGGAAATTTTGAAAATTGGGTGGATAGTGATTCTTTACAATTTCGATATATTTGGATGCCCCTGTGGAAGTATTATAAGCACTAGAAAATTTAGCTCCTAAAACACTTCTGCTTTCGAAAAAAATTGAATATAAAAATTTACCGGTGCTCCCGGTAAATTTTGATAAATTTAAAATAGCGCCTACGGTCGTACAACGGTAGCTGCTACCATAAAAATCCCGGAATATGTAGTTGTGATATATAATTTCAAAAAGGTAGACCTAATAGCCAATCGGTCAATTGTAGCTTGTTGTATAGCTGAATTAATATATTGACCTTGAGAGAGAGTTATAGTATACCCCATAAAGAGATTATTATTTACAATTTCATCACTTTAGACTCGATTTCAACGCGACAACGTTCACTGAATATTGTAGGATCGCATATGCTTCCAATATTTTCATTTGAACCAAATTCATCCGGAGGTCTAGTGGAGCCAGACGTAGTCTCAGTGGAACAACCGACGATATAGAGACTGAAGCTTTCGGTCTACTGTAGACCTAGGCTAGACTATCAATATCATATGATTCATGAAATCTGAATTAAAAATCCAAGGCAAGAGATAACAAAACGTAATTTCTTAAATTTGCCGATTCCATGCATCTAGTCTCTAGACTAGATCAAATTAAAACGGTAGGCCTACCCAATGCAGTGGGGCGTATATCATTTCAACTTACCTCTCAGTGAGCTGGCATGTCTATTGCATCCTCTAGACTCGGCAACGAGAAGGCCGCCTGCAGCTCGCGAAGTTTCTCCGCCGTACCCTGGCCTTGTTCACAGCCACTCCCGCGCCTCCTCTGGGCCGGATGGTCGAGCTGCCATTGCTTGTTTCTCTCCTTCCTCTTACCGTCTTACTTAGTCTTATTCCGATTTAGCGTAGCCTTAGCCTTGTCCTTAGGCTTAGCACTAGCTGAGTCCGAGTCGGCCATCGTCCGTGACCTCGAGCTCCTTTTCCAATCTCGATCTGGTTATCGTATTTCAATCAAAGCTTGTCCGTAGCTGTCCAGCGTTCGATCGGCGCCGATGATAATCTGATATATGAGCTGTGTGTGTTATACTTTACGTGAAAGCAGCGTATTGGAATTGATCAGCTGTACTGTATTACTAGCGCGCGGTCGGATACCCGCCTGCTAGCTACCTGTAGTACTGTACGTACCAACGAACTCAAACACTCGTTGTAAATACGCTGGTTGTTAAATGACATAGAGGGAGCTAAACACGTAAATTCAAAAAATAAACCGTCGAAAGTCAAAAGTGATGTCCGGACGTCAAACACTTTTATATAATGTTTTGAAAGCAAATTACACAACAATTAGAGCATTTGATTTGGAATTATTATCATCTCCCATGTTTTTTTCGATGATCTTTCATATGGTACTGAAATAAACCAAATTTGTTTTGGAGGGGCACTTTGGAAATTACCAATACTCAACTATACCTTTAAATAGGACAAATTTTTGTTGTCATTTTTAGAAGGGGAGGAGGAGCCTGACAGATTTGTCGGGAGAGAGCAGTAAAGGGGGCGCTGTTGATGATATAGGCGGTGTTTGGAATACCATGACAATAGTAAGAAAGATAAGAGATGATATATGACTAGTATATACCATTTATACATACGCTCATGATTCTTTTGTGGGGAGGGAGGATGGAGTGATGGGGAACATTATGTAGAGAATAAGTAAATAATGAAGATGTACAATGAAAATTGTAAATGGTTTGAAGAATGCTTCTTTGACAAAAGATGACGTTGTTGATTTTATGACATGATGTAAACTGTATAATTGAATACAGAGAAAATGTAAAGATTAGGTAATGTGGATTGTCAAAGCAATTGCTACAGCTCTTCTATCTATGGGGACACTTGAGAGAGAAAAAGTATGACAGTGAGAGATAGAACAAAACAATAGCAACTCGCTTTATCATTAAACTCAAATGGATAATAACAGATAAGGGAAAGGGAGTGATACATACAGCTATGGCATGTCTTACTACTTAGGATCCAAAGATTGACGTTGAGATCCCTATCTGACAAGTGGTTTGTTTAGGAGTATCATCCCAAATATACAGTATACCATAACCAGCCAGTGATTATAAAATCTAACCATTGCCCATAAACACAAGTACATGTTACACAAGCAACCTTTTGTAACGTGAATCAACCAACGCCCGTGGGGTTGGGCTTGGTTACTGTAATAACTTCAAAACCGTGAATATTTCATACTTTAATATTCCTCTTGACAATCGACTGCGTACAAGATTTACATCCAATCATCCTATCTCCTGATGCTTAATTGATTGATTCCATGGCCCACGAGAGATCCTCATCAATATTTCAAAGGTCATCCCCTTCTTCTTTCCTTCCCTCTACACTTTCTCTCCCACCCCCCCCCCCTTATACTCCAATTTCCTTGTTGAACTAAAGAAGGGAATAATTGAGCAAAGCCCTGGGGATGCAAGACTACAAGACCTTAATGAGATCGCTTGTAAGACGCTTGGGATCGAGAGAGCTCCAGTGATGAACATGTCTGCCCATTACCAGAATTAAAATGTGAAGATTGCTAATGAGTTTTGCTAGGCCGAGGCTCGCAAAATGGAGCCTAATTGGGCCCCGTTTGCGGTTTAATGGCCGATTTTGGAAGTCATGAATGTTCTGCGGATGACCGCAGGGGCCGAGCGAGGGAGCGAAAATGTGATATTCATTCTAGTTCTTGTGTAAATCTTGCATGGAAATGTGTAACTGGAAAAGTACATGATAAAGTTTGCATGAATGGACGATGAGGAAAGAGATATATAAGCCTTCACGGAGAAGGAACGAGATGTAATAGAGCAGAAAAGAAGATGGATTGCTGGATATCGAGTGAAGTGAGAGTCATTTATCAATTATGAATGAGGAACCTTTACTCTGATATATGTTTCTGTGATGACTGAACATACAGAAGATGGTACTAAATGGAGAACTGGAGAATATTGAAAGAGGGAATAAAGACAGTTTTCAATAACCATGCTTTAATGAAAATCTATATCATCATGTCCAATCTAGTCTAATAGTATGTCAGACTAGAAAGAGTACACAACAGAGAAATCGAGATGGCAAAAGAACAAACAAATAGAAAGAAGGAAATTAGTAGAAGAAGAGAGACAGAGGGGAGAGAGGAAAAAGGGGAGAGGGTGAATAAGAGAGAAAGTGGAAAGAGACAAAGAAGAGAGAGAGAGAGAGAGAGAGAGAGAGAGAGAGAGAGAGAGAGAGAGAGAGAGAAAAGAGAGAGGAGAGAGAGAGAGAGAAAAGAGACAAGAGAAATATATAAAGACAGTGTGAGAGGGGGATAGAATGAGAAAGGGACAGAGAGAGAGAAAGAGAGACAGACAGACAGACAGACAGAGACAACGACAGAGAGAGAGAGACAGGGACAGAGAGAGACAGGGAGAGAGAGAGAGAGAGAGAGAGAGGCAGGAAGACAAAGTGACAATGACATGATGTATGATTTCGGGATGGAAAGCAAATAGAGGTCAGTGATGGATGTGTTTTGAAAGGGCTTGACAGAGATGGGGAGAACGAAGGAGAGAAGGAAGGATAGATAAACAAATGAGTCATCAAAAGGAGATTTTGACAAAGAGTGCGTCACTGGTATAATCAGTCAGCTTGTCAAAACAATTAATTGTGGATAGTAAGATTGATCATGGGAGGAAGGTATAAAGGGGAGGGGGTTAGGGGGAGGAGGAAGAGGAAGGGTGAAGGGGGAAGGGGTGGTGAATAAGTTCATGAGAGGGAGAGGATGTTTGCACTAAAAAGGAAGGGGTATAAATCAACAATACAAACATGGATGAGTGAGTGTGAGAGAGAGAGAGAAAGAAAAAAAAAGGAACAGGGAGGGACAGAAATCTGCAGACAGTGATGAGAGATAAAAAGAGAGACATACAACAAAAGAAAGAGACAAATAGAGAGAAAGAAAGAAGGAGTGCAAAACACTCAAAGAGAGAGGCAGAATAACAGATAAGAACCAAGGAAAGAGAGGGAGAGAGAAATATAGAAAGAGAGAGAGAGAGAGAGAGATAGAGGCTAAAAGAGATAGAAGTAGGAATGACATGAAAGATGATGAAGGGGGGGGGGGGGGGGGAGGGAGAGATTAACATAAAGAGGCACAGATGAAATGGCATCCTTCACAAAAAATGGATTTGAGGAGACCATCACAGCAGAATGACATAACAACCTTCCCTGCTCTGATTCACAGAGTTATTAATAGCCTTATACAAGCCTTACCTTGGAAACTAAACTTGCTCTGTACGCTGCAAGCTTCTTCAAGTATTCCTTCTTGGCCGTTTCTGTCCTCTGCTTGTATGCCTGTGGAATAAACCAAGATAGCAATATTTTGTGTTTTAGATATGTATTACTGAGGCAAGATTAAAACAAAAGATGATACGACTCAAATATATCCTCGTTCCCCTTTTCTTACAAGTATATGAACAGGAACCCTAATACAATAAACTATATTTAAGTGTATGAGCAAATATTAAAAAAAGGTATTCCAAATTTGAATAATATGAATGCAACAATGCAGTAGTCTAAAGAATTCACATGTTTTAAGAATAATTAAACAGTCAATTCTTGCATTAAATCTATATGGAATGGAAAAAAACAAAAACAAAGAACCACACTTATTTTGTTCTTAGGAGGAACTCCAGGACAAACAAAAATAGAGATAATGACTGGTCCTCAACTGGATGAACGCATAAAATCTACATCCTGTTCAACCAGTTGAATAATAACACAGTCAAACCTGTCTATAGCGACCGCCCAAGGGAAACACAAAAAGTGGTCTTTGTAGACAGGTGGTCACTAAAGCAGGTTTGACTGTAGAACCTGAATGAAATAGTGAAAACAGCGGAAACGTGACTTACGGCCTTCTGCTCTGCATCCAGGCTATCCCACATAGATGCCACGATCTTAGAGACCTCTCCGAAGCTAGCGTTAGGGTTCTGGCCCTTGATGGCCGCCTGAGTATCGCGGAAGAACAGGGCATAGGCGGAGACCGGCTTGTTGGGTTCGTTAGGGTCCTTCTTGCGCTTTCGCTTGGGGGGCTTCTTTTTCGTTTCTTTGACAACCTCTGGTCGCTTGGCCTGAGCAGCAAACTGGATAGAGGAATGAATTTGGAAGTGATGGGGGAAAGGGGAGAGAAATTAGTATTTAAACAAAAAATGTATTTCCAAAGAAGCAATCATACATCAAAGAACTATAATGGCCTAGCTAGAGTTTTTGGAAGGATGAAAAAATCAAACAGAAATAAATAAATCAACTCAAATCAAATCAAATCAAAAGTTATAAAAGGTTGTAAGTTATCAATATAGAAAGAACTGTTTTGCACACATGCTCATGCTCTGTGAGAAGACACATTAAAACCATTTAATTTTAATTTTTTAAATTCATTCTTGCATTTGTATTTTGTATCTGTGAATCCATGCAAAATATCCATTTCTACCAAAATACACTAAGTATAAAGATTACATTTCAGTGTTCAAGATCCCTTTTTTTAGTGAAGCTCTCATGTTTACATTAGATAAGATATGGGAAATTTGGTGTCATTAAAGAAGATCTTGCTCTTCACAAGCAGGAGAATTATTTTGTTCCACAAGCATTGCAGATATTCACCTGTGCAAGAGGAGTGTTGTCATCACTATCCTCACTGCTCTCCAGGTGCCCCGCCCTGCCGGCTACCATGTGAGGGGGAGAGCCGGTCTGGCCTGCCATGAGTTGTGCATGGTGCTGCTGTGACATAGGGGGAAGTCCCCCATGGTGCAAGCCCAAACCAAGCTGTGAGTGGTTGATGGTAGAGAGGTGCTGGGGACCGGGAGGGTGGGGCGGACCCATCTCTGTATGGCCATGATGGAAGAAATTGCTGCTGTCCTGAGGATGGTGTGCTTGCTGGGGATGGTGGGGGTGGTGCAGCTGCTGTTGCTGCTGCTGCTGCTGGGGGTGGGGGTGGTGTTGCGCCTGTTGCTGGGGGTGTGACATGTGGTAGGAGGAGCTCATGTGGGTGGTGGCGCCGGACATGGAGCTCCCGAGGGAGGCGACCATGGCGGTGGGGTCCATACCGCTGTTAAAGTGTCCCATACTGCATGCCGCGTCCGTGATGGGTGGCACGTCAAACATCTGAGGGGGGAACTGAGGGTTGATGGGGGCTTGTCCCGACGTCGAGACCGGCAGACTCTCCGTCATGTGTGAGAGCTGATCTGAAAATACTGGCGACGACTGACTTGAATAACTGGGTGTCACATTCGACAAGGAGGTCGTGTATGTTCCTGCGGGGCTCATAGTGTGGCTCAGGGCAGGGGACTGGGATTGTGACAGAACGGGGGAGTTAGTAGAGGTCCGTGGGCTGGGGACGTTTGTAGCCTGTTGAGGGTTGAGAGGGGATGCCAAGGAGGACATCTGTTGAGGGCTACCGGCGGTGTGAAAGGTGGGTTCTCCAGCCCCACCTCCTCCGCCTCCTCCTGCACCTCCAGCGGTGTGTTCAGGGTAACCTACGGCCGAGGCGGGGTTCATTCCTGGTGTACCGCCCTCTCCTGGCATCCTGGGAGGGGTGATGGGCAGGATCTCAAAGTCCTCTCCAAAACTTGGAGTGTGGAATGTCTGGGAATGAGAAGTAATACAAAAAATGCTGTTAATACATTATAATACGAACAAACTAAAGTGTACAAGTGTGTATATTATACATGCTTGTGAGTTTTTTCTTCTTCACATCAGGATGTCATTGATAATGAAACATTCAGTAGAGGCACATAGACATCAAAATTTACTACTAATGCATACACACTGAAATCAATGTCATAAAGAGTTGAATATTGTAAAATTATTATTGATGGATGATAAATAGGCCACTGAAGCATAAACAAAAAATGCACATTTATAAAGAGGCAAAATTGTACTCGAAACGATATGATAGAAAGCTTCTGAAAAGAAAGGGACAAGAGGGAGAGAGAGAGAGAGAGAGAGAGAGAGAGAGAGAGAAAGAGAGAGAGAGAGAGAGAGAGAGAGAGAGAGAAGGGAGTGAGAGAAAAGAAGAATTTATGAGTTGATGCTCCATGAAAAGAGAAAAAGAGGAGAAGAGTTTAGTGAGAGCCAGGGTACATAATGCGGGAGCCATCATCTACTTTCCATAGATAGCCATCTAATGGCATGCAAATCTGCAAGATAACATCATCCAGTTTGCCAGAATTCTTCAGGTATTAAAGTGCTCAATAAACAGTACAAAAAACAAGCCTTCCTCTAAAACACTTCATACATCACTCCCATTCCCCCCTGCTTTTTCCTCGTTTTTTCAGAGTCGACAAACAAAAGCATTTTTTCTTTTCTCCGCGCGACACCTTGCCATGACGACAGTAACAGCTTAGTTTTTTATTTCTTCGCGATGCAGTTTTCAGGTAGAACCCAGTTATGAATGGTACGGCGTATATCATGTGACGTTGGGTAAGCTTCGAAGCACTTAAACGTAAGTCGGCTGATACCGCCGCACGATTCTTAAAAGCAGACAGCTTAGATCATAATCGCTTCATTGATATGAACTAAAGGTCGCGATCTGTGATAAAACGGTGGCACGAGGGATTACAGCTTTGCAACAGAGCTCCTAAACCCTATGTAAATGAACAGAGCTGCATATTTTGAGCCAAAATGCCGGGAAAATGCACACAACACTATTAGACCGTGCTGTTCTCAAATTTGGACGAAAAGTGGGACAAATATTGTCATATATATCGCAGAGATCAGAATTTCAGATTATAAATTGAAATCAATACAATTATTTCTTGTCTACGTTGTAATTTTGCTTTAAGCATATCTATCACCTTATCAGGTGTGCATCTCCATAATGCGTAAAACTAGTTTGGATAATGTAACATGTCAAGAGCAGAACTAGAACAGGATGCGATCATGCCCTAAATAAACTGAAATGTCTGATTTCGCTTTTAATATGAATACACCGTTATCTGTCCAGATTTCAATTACATAAAATAAAGGATCAACTGAAAGAGATAGCAATTCAGGGAAAAATAATACCAACATGAAGTGAAAAAGTAATGAGAACAATATCAATCAAAAGTAGGTTTGTCGACTTCAAATCCAATTTGTTTCTTTTTATAGTTTTGTGTCGGACATCTGCCATCTTAAATATCTGAACTACGCGGACAGCCTTGGATTACAAATAAAAAGACAGGGGCCCTAACTTCGTCAAATAAGATCATTTAGGAGGAAGCTGCGACAGAAACGGAAATATCTTGGAGGCTTTTCTGTCTGGTCAGGTGACCCTTTGACCCGCCGTAATCAATAATTCCAGAGCACTTCTCACAAATTAGAAAGCAGATCTGGGGCTGTAAACTAGATTATTTTAGACGGTGAATCCAACGAACGAGGACAGTAAGTAGAGCAAAAATACTCTCTGCTTTGTCTTTTTAAAGTGGCAACGAATACAAATGAAAAATATTAGACTTGATTTGATGTAGTTAATCATAAAATTATAATTTTAATGGTAAATCCACCAAAAGGGGAATAGTAAGGGGAGCAAATATATAATTTTAAAAAAAAGGAGACCTAAAAGATATTACCACAATCTCTAAGCCCTGTCATTTTTAAAGTGTTGATGAGTGCAATTGAAAAAAAAAATTGATTTGATTTGATGCAGTTTATCATTGAATCAATACATTTGTATGTCTGCATGACTTGATAACATGGTGATTGAAGTTCATTTTAAAAAAAGGATAAAAGTACAAAAATAATTTCTTTCCATAATTATACAATTAAAATGGACAATTTAGTACAGGTGGAGCTACATGAATAAATCAAGAAATTGGATGATCATTCTATCACAGACTTGGTAGTGCCGATTGGCAAGCAGGGTATTCCTAATGGACAAACACTAAATAAAATTTCCTGCTGTAATATGCAGTGCAAACACTGATATGATATATCTCTTATTTTAGAGCTCATAATTTATTTTCTTCTTCTAAAACCTCTCAGATACAGTAACTACTGCTCTATGCCCAGTGAGCCTACACTGATACTCTATCATCATCATTATAATCTAGACAAACATATTTTCTTAAAACAGCAATTGTATGTTGCAAATGCAAAAGGAATGAAAAGATGAAATGGGATTGAAAAAACCAAGGAAAAAAAAGAGAAGAAAATTGCATACCTCGGACATGTTTCTTGAGTTGTAGGGCGGCCTGCCGTTGCGTGTGATGTGTGGCACCTCGCGGGGGTTGCAATAATCGTAGCTATTCACAAAGCCTGATGTTATCTCGTGTGACTGCAGGGTAGAACAACAACAGAGGGAGAGAGGGAGAGGGAATACAGTATTAATGTCACGTCACTGCTGATAGTACTATCATAATACACAGATGCCAATCTCATGTTTCCCTTTTTAATTCCCTCACTTTTTTTATATGGTTGATTTTTGTTGTGATAGATGGTGTATTGAATGTTTACATAACATTTGCGCCTTCCCCCGAGGTGACGGAATGGAGTTGCTAAATGACATTTTAAAAGTATGAAGAACATGTATGTAGCGCATAGTGATGCTTCAAAGCATCTCTATTATTGGAGGGGTAGGGGAGGGGAAGGGGAAGAAACAAGAGAGACAGACAGAGACAGAACCAGAGAAGGGGAAACAGATATATATATATATATATATATATATATATATATATATATATATTCTTGATTTGCAGAGAGAAATTACTGGGAGGGAGATCATAATAGAGAACATCATAACTGGAATAGTTTCAAATGACGAGTAAAGAAACAAATACACGTAATGTAGAAAATAGAAATAAATAAAACGTTGAAACTGTGACATATTCTTCATCTACAAACTGGTCTTCCCATCCCTCATGCCCCAATTCTCTTCCACCCTCTACTAGTTTTCACCCTCTACTAGTTTTCACCCTTCCTTTAATACCCTCCATACAGATATCTCTACTGTTCCTTCTCGCCATTGTTCTTTATTTCTGTCCTTCATCCTATCTTGAATGGTGGATGCTACCACCAAATTACAAATCTTCCCCCCTTCTGCCATTCTCCACTCCTTCCCCATACTTCTTCCCTCATCTCCATCCTCCACCCCCTTCCCCTTCTCTCCCCCAATGTTCCTAATCCTTCATCTCTTTACCTCTCCCCTTATTCCAAATCCTCTACCCCCCCCCCTTCACCCAACCTTTCCTTCTCTATGCACCTGGATCCTAGCAAAATAAACAGAAATCAATACAGAAGGAGCAAAGGCCCTACGATTGCATGCCCAAATGCTACAAAAATACACACTCGGCATCAATCGATGCTGCGATACAGTTGTGAAAATAATTCCCTCATATCTCCACAAAGTTTTCTCCTCTTCCGGTATTCTCCGGGACTCTCCCCCCAACGCCCCTCCTCTCCAGCCTTCAAGGGGTTAATGTTCCATCCTCCTCGTTTCTTCATTCCACAACAACCAAGGAGATAGAATTCCAGAAGACACCACATCGCGGTGAATTTGCGAGTATGCATCGCGGAGAGAGGAGCAAGATATTGCCATATCACAAAGTACAAGAGATGGTTTGTCGTATTGATTGAACAAAGTTGACTCCTAACCAATACACTTTCAGTCAAGAAATAAATTTGCTTGTTAGCAAGAAGCTCCAAGCGATTACTAATCATATTTGATTTTGTAGGAAGTAATCTATTTTGTTCCATCGCAATGGCTAATGGACAGCGGAGTGATGCGAAAATGAAGAATATATAATTACTTAACATCTACTGTAGATGACAAAATCTAAACACATTAATGACATTAATATATTATATACAGTAGGCTTATGGTAATAATGTATCAATTCAATCTACCAATTACTTTTTCTCAATTAACTAATTAAATAAATTAATGTTATACAATTTATCAATTACATACTTTTTTTAAGGTAAATGGTTAAAACCTTCATCCTGCATTTAAGTTATCATCATAACTGGTATAACACTATTAAAAATTTTTTTTTTTCATTTTGGGGCGTTTTAAAAAAATGACTTTCATCACTGTTAAAAAAAACCTAGCAGGTATCACTAGAGTTATTATTTGGGCCCTCATATTCAAAACATTAAATCAACCTATCATTGCAAGATCAAATAAGATTGTTTTGAGAAACTATGCTTTAATGAAAATCTATATCATCATGTCCAGCTGAGTCTAATAGTATATCAGACTAGAAAGAGAACACAAGAAAGAGATCAAGAAGGCAAAAGAGAAAGAGAGAGAGAGAGAGAGAGAGATAAAGAAGGAATCAAGATATTTATGGAGAAATGAGAGACAGGAGAGTAATTGAGATTATTGACATATCAGAAGGAGAGATGTTTGGAAACACACAAAGAGAGAGAGAGAGAGAGAGAGAGAGAGAGTGAGAGTGAGAGAGAGGGGGATAGAGAGAATGAGAGTGATGGAGGGAAACACAGAGGAGAAAGAAATGGAGAGAGTAGATGAAGGTCTTGTTCTCTAGGCTTTCGAGTAAACAAAATTACACTGGGACAGAAAAAAAAATCAATCCTCAAGTAATTGGTTTTCCAAGGTTAAATTGGACAAGACTGAACATTGTTTCTTCAGTGTATTTAGCTGCATGAGGTAGGCTTGATTGACACGCAAGATTGGGTTAGAGTGATGAAATGAAAAATGAGGGAAAGAAATGCATATTTTGCGCAGGACTAACATTTTATGGGATCATGTTTATTCAACTGCTGCTAAAGGAGTTAGGACAAATTCGTTGGTCTAATAAAGATCAGGAAATCTGATATTGGAAGAAGAAAAAAACCATGGTAAAATAACTTGATCCGGTCACTGGATGAATATCTCTCCAAAATAAATTCAGGTTTTGAATAAACAGACTCAGAGACGTTTCTAGGTGTCAAATGCAAAGGTATTTGCTGATGGACTTTGCCAGGACAGAAATGAGAAGGTGCTGGAAGAGTTGCATTAAGGTTTAGCTTATTGGCATTAAGATGTGGGTATAATCTCCTACTATTATTTTACTGACTGTAATTATGAAATTAAGCCTGCTTGAAGTGAGTTTGCAAAGCAATAAACTGGTAAAGAAAGAAAGATCCCATTGCAAGAGGGGTTATCTTGTACATGTAATACAAGCCAGAAAGGATTGTCTCAGAGAGAGAGAGAGAGAGAGAGATAGAGAGAGAGAGATAGAGAGAGAGAGAGAGAGAGAGAGAGAGAGAGAGAGAGAGAGAGAGATGGGTTAGGAGGAAGTAGACAAGACTGGACAGAGAAACAAAGAACATAAAAAGCATGATCTAGATAAAAACAAAAGAATCCACAGCCTAACGTTTCTGGAAATAAATAAACCCCAAGTGAGTTCCTGTGTCCATTAGCAGACAACCTGTAACAGGGAGTCCTCTAAAAATAAAAACCGACCAATCTTCCAATGTTCTAATTATCATCATTATGTCTGCTTAGCGTAGAACAATGGACACTGATTGGGACTTCCAATTATCGGGGCTCGTATCGGGTTGCGTCTTGAGGGGCATTATGGGATACGGAGACCAGGGTAACTGATTAATTGGGGTATCATGTTTGTCATAATGACTTATCCACACATGCTTCAGTGTCAAAACATTGCAATCAAGGCAAAGTATAATGTATAAATATAAATATAGACTAATGTTATAACAAGCCCAAGACTCAGGTCATGCATTATTGCCAATAATACATTTCATGTTAGATGCATGGCGCACCCGCAAGCCTACTGTATATATTTCATGTTGTTTGATATACAAATAACCATCATATATATCACTGGCTACAATTTATTCAATACCACAATCTTGGACTTATCATCATTTTTCGAAAAAAATGAACACATTACACACATACAAGAATGATATCACTACTCAACTACAAACAGATTACATTATTAACTCATACATTTTTTACTTAGAGTTAATACTATACCTGTCGGGCTTTCAGCCGACGTTATAGTAATTTTTCTTACTATCGAAAGACTGAGAAGAGCCTCATTTTTTCAATAATCAATTTTAAATTAATTTGCCCCAGAGACAATATCCTGCACTTACTGAAGTCCCATCTTTTAATCCTAATCCTAATCCTAATCCTAATCCTAATACTTAACCTAAATTCACTGTAACCATGTTACTTAATCTTTGATTATGTAAAAAGGCTCGGAGTGAATGTGACTGAAACATATGTAGAATAAACCAAGTGGGTTAATCCTTTTGGTTAATTAGGTTGTTAGAGATTTAAAACAAAATTGCTGACATATAAGGTCATCATTTTCTGCTAAAGAGGAGTTGTTTTTTTATACAGGAAAAAGGGAGAATCTTTGGGAGCTTATTGGTCTACCTGGACATCTTTATCGGCAAAAACCTTCCCTCGGTATGCCCTCTGGGGAAATACGCTTTAATTTACAGTTGTCGCATGGGATGAGATCGTGTGGGTCGCTTAAGCCTCCATTGCCTTGGCAACCTTGTTAATTACTTAGATCGGGATGGCCGCCATGCTATCAACTCTCTTTAGAAGAAGGTAATGGCGGATGTGAACCGTAACTAGGATAATTGTTTTGACAGTTTTGATTCAAAATGGAAAATAAAATTAATTTTAATGGGTTTTATCTAATAGTAATGAGAAGTATGACACTGTTGACAAGGAATTTAAGAGTTTTTAACCTTTCCCTAGTGATTAGTTGATGGATAGAGTCATCTCAGTGACATCCGGTTTTCCTTGAGTGTTTTATTTTCGTGGTATTTTGCTTAAAAGGGTTTGGATTACAAGAAGGCAACAATCAGCTGTATGACCATACATATGAAAGGCCAATTAAACTAATGGGATATTGAACAGAAATTGCTAATGTCACTCATAACAGAAAAGATTCTAATTATCACTGTGACCATCATAAACAAGAATTACAAGTTTGTACTCTACGTAGCAGTAATAATGACACATTTTTTAACTATTGCTTGCATATTTATGCGGCTAAATACATTATCAATATCATAGAGTATATAACTCCCTCCTAGTTCCAAATCCGAATCAACTAAATGAATCAAAAAAGAATTCTTGTTTCCTTTCAGATAAAATGTCTTTGAAGGAACAAGTTGGATTCTCTAAAACCACACAATGTGAATACTAAAAATGAACAATGAAAAGAGTTATGAAAAAGCTGTTTAACAAACTGGCCAAACATGAAGTTGATGTCATAAAATACCACAATGTGATTCATCACAATGATTCATAATAGCAAAATCTTAATTTCCTTTGTTCAATTCATGACAAATAGAATACATTTCCTCTTCTAAAAGAT